CGTCAGGTCGGGCTGAAGTCTCTCTCTTGCCTTCTCCCCCTCATTCTCTCTCTCTCTCTCTCTCTCTCTCTCTCTCTCTCTCTCTCTCTCTCTCTATCTATCTATCTATCTATGTCTATCCGTTGTTTTCTTTCGTCCAGTCTTCCCTGATGATTTTTTCCTCCAACCATTGCGATTCTGTGTGAGATTTCTTTTAGGGTTGGCCGACAAGTTGCTGCTTTCTGATGAACGTTTTAATAGGAATGAACCATTCTTGTCTCAGTGATTTTCATTCCACTGCCAGAGAAGTACTGGTCAACCTCTGCTCCTCCAAGGACAGCATGCAAAGAAAGAAGAAGGGGGACAAAAAAGAGGAAACCAGAAAATGGCACAGCTGCCACCTCATACTGCCATACCACCGAAGACCGTTGTGAACACTGTAAAGCAGTGATGCACACAGGTTTTGCAAGGGGTGAGTATAACCAAACAGCAATACTTGGGCCAGGCACACTGAATGCGCCTGACTGTTTCAAGTCATATACTTCCAGTTTGATTCCGGACAGGTCCATACCACAGGAATAGTGGTGAGCTATACCCTGACACAAACAACTCCATGGCCTTGTTTGCTTCAGTAGTGCTGTAACAATCAACTAGTATCCACTGCCCAGACTGCATCGCTGTATAATGTGACCGCATTCCAAAAAGTGGGCAGAATGGAATGTTGATTTTGTTGGCACTGTTGAGATCATATAGAATCTTACTTTTTTCCTTTTTTTCCTTTGAAACATCAGAGGACACAGACCTCCATCAGAGCAGGGATAAGAGCCCAAGTCTGACGAAGGAACCGCCCGTTTGATGGCTCCAGTCTTCTTCGTGGGGAGCATCAAGTGCTGGGAAACCCGGCCAGCGTCCCTTATAATAAAAGATTAAAATGTCAAACATCCCGTTTGGAGGCTGCACTGCTTCATCTTGTTCCTGAGGGGATTGGCATTCTCCACCCATGTCATCCTTTTTTTCTTTTCTTTTCTTTCTTTTGAGAGAACAGCTCCAATCTACTCGTGGGGAGCAGCATGTGCTGGGAACCGGGTCCAGTATTAAGCATGTACTGATGCCGGGGCCATTACCCGGTTTGGCTGAAGAAAATTAGGCAGGAAATGTTGCTGGAAATTGGGTCCAGCGTCCAGCGCAGAGTGGAAGAAGGGGTGGGGGGAGGGTATAGTAGTTGGCAGAGGGGGAAGGGGAGCGGGCGATTAGGTTGTGTGCTGTGAGAGGGGGGGGGGGGGGGGGGGGGGGGGGGGGGGGGGGGGGGGGGGGGGGGGGGGGGGGGGGGGGGGGGGGGGGGGGTGGAGAGGTGGACGGGTGGAAAGGGAGAGGGACGGGAGGGAAAAGACAGGTGGGCCTGACTGGAGGAGGGTGACAGTCGCTAGTGACGTGGCTGTGTAGTTCCCGTTCCTCCCAGTTCTGTCTGTTTATTTCCTCGTGAGTGGAGGTGTCACTTGTAAGGGGACTTGCCGCTGCTTGTGGCCCTTGGGCTAATACCACCTTCAC